CACCCACCCAAATCTGTGCAAAGAAGGCAGTGATCAGTCAGAAGCAATGTGTGAGACTTGCATTGGAAAGAATAAAATAAGTCTGAACTGTTTTCATTTTGCTTAAATATCATGATGCCCCATTGTCAGTATGAAAATTTTAAGGTTAAAATTAGAAACTGCTTTGTGAATGAAGAACTCTAGTCAGGTAAGCTCTAATGTTAGGTTTTCCAATTTTCTTTTTAAAGATGGTGTGAGGTACAGAAAAGTTAAGGATGACCATGTGTGTCTTGAAAAAGACAGCATTGATCAGGAACCCCAGACTTCTTTTGGAGTCTGTAACTGTTGTTGCTCAGTGGGTTTTACTCCTGTCACCCAAGTGGTCACCCCATTTGTAACACTGGAGTCATTTAGAAACCAGCCCTCCTTCTGGCACAGTTTGCTTTGTGCTTATTTGCTGTATATTCCATTTATTCTGTTCCTCCTATTCTACTACTTCACTTTTTGATTCCCATGTTTGCAACATCTCCTCAATTTCCTATTTCTGTTGCAGGTAACACAATGAACAGCAGCACAAAGCTGAGCTTTAATGTCACATTAGTGTGACTTCCAGGAAAGATTACAGACCCATAGTGCAGGTACTGCCACTTAAGAACACCACAGCAAACAAGGCTTAATCTGAGACTTTTTAATAAGCACTTAGCTGGGAATTCCTTTGTATATATGGAGGACTGAGGCAGAAAAATGGATACAGAAATGGATGTGGATGCCTGGATCTTCTGTAGAGCTTTAATTGTTTTGCACGTTAGAATCTTCCCAGCTGTATTAGAAAGAAGGGATCTGCTCTTAACTTTCTCTGGAAAGGCAGGCAGGATTTTGTGAAATCCTAAAGAAGCAAAATTCACTCCAATCATTGTTACTTGCTGCCATTGAGGGTTGAAATGCAGCATTTGCCAAGAGTGCAAGTTCCTTCATTTGATCCCTTTGACTGTACCAGTATAACTGCCAATCACAGGAAATACCTCTAATAACTCTTCCTTTTACTTAATAAGGAATACCACATCTTTAAAACATTAGAAACAGATGTCACTGCATTACTTCACTGCTGATGTATGTAATAGAAATGACACACTAATTAATTTAATGCAGTATAAATGTACTGATTATTTATCATGGCTGACAATAAAATTATGAAAACATTCAATTACAATCAGTGGTAATTCATTATTTATTGATTCTGCGTTATGCACACATTAATACAATACATTTAATCACCTAAGAGAAGGGATCATTTTTCTATTGATACTTAGACATTTAGATTCATCAGTTTTATGTAAAACCCTTGATGTTGAGGTGGGAAGTTTTAAACCACAATTCCAAAAAAGCCTCAGCTGAAATGTCAGAACTAAATTGAATACAAGTGTCAAGTACGAGTCTAGAAAAATGTGGGCACAAAGAATGACACACTAATTTCAGTCTCTTCTTTCTCTCACGTCAGTGGCCTACATTTGTTAATATAATTGTGGGTACTCTTTCTCAAGGAATCCAAGGCATTAAACACTAACCCAGCAGAAAGTTAATACTGTTTTTTCTTCCTTTCCAAGCTGTTACTCAGAAGTGGCACCATCAGGGCTTTGCATGCTCAGGATATAAGCTCAGAGCTCACTAGGGCAGGTTACGAGCTTTCCACTGAGCCCTGAGAAATTGCATTGTTAAGGACGAGGAGAAGGGTTTGTCACTTGTACTCCAGCTGGGCTGGAATTCACAAAAAAGAGGTGAATTTCCTTTCATTATGATTAGGGTGCATTGCAAATGCTACTTTTGGTTATCTTTTATCTTTCATTTTGGACCCACAGTTACCTCTGACCCTTGTAAGTCTCTGTTCACGTTTATTCCCTCTCACTTACTTTAGGGACAATCCAAGTTCTTTACTAAAAAGAAGCATTTTTTCCTACTACTCACATTGAACATACCTCTGTGAAGTCCATAGAAAAAGATTTTTATATTAAAAGAATCACATTGTGATATCTATGGAATTCCTATTTTTATTGTCCTCCCTCATGTTTGGCTACAGGAAACTGAGATGAAGCACAAATAGCACTATTGAGCTTTCCAGTCTTCTCTAAATGAAATTATTATTTTTAGTTCATCCCCTACTGCTTTACTTAGCTGTCATTAGTTTTCCTCAGTGTCCCCCCTCATCAGGTGTGTCACCCATCATTTGCTCCCTGTACCCCATGGAGAGCAGGAGCTGTGTTCCTGCCAGCTGGCAAAAAGAGATTTCCAGAATGCTCTTGACTGGGGCTTTCCTCTCTCCTCCTGTGTTAGGGAAGACTCTTTCCCATTTCACTCCAGTGGGGCATATGCAAGGATGACAAAAACAAAAACAAACAAATGGAACCTTTACTTGACATCTTGCCATACAAACACAGCCAATTTTTGTATAGGATTAACACACAATACACCAGTATTTCTATGGCTGCCAGGGTAAGAAAACAGAGTAGTTTGCACACCAGTCAAAAAGGAAGAAAAATAATGAAACTTTACTTTTAAAGTAATATTCTGAAATACTTATTTCAGCTATAGGGAGGCTTAGTAGTTTGTACACATTCAGATTACGTACTGCTGGACTCCATTCAAATAAACCATCTGGATACTTTATAACTGACAAGATATTACTGGATGATTGTTAGGCTTTAGTAACTTTGCCTTGTCTTTAACAAAATTACAGAGAAATAATAATATTCATGGATATAGTTGATTTGTATATGCTTAGTTGAACTGGACAGCTGCCTGGCATTAATTCTCAAACCTTGAGCATTTTTGAAGTTTCAGAGCAGTTCTCCTCTCCATGGACAGTCACCTCTCAAGGGTACTGCTTTTACTACAGCCTTTATGATTTTATATTGCTTCATGCCACTCCAGCTCGCTGGGTGTTGATGTGCAAGGCTTCCTCTGGCCTTGTGAAAATTCAGCCTTATTTAGAAATATGTTTAGCTTATGGGAGGCATTAAAGTCAAAAGCGAAAAAGAATTCTCACGGTGGATTTTGATTGTCGCATTAATCTTAAAGGGGAAAAAAAGGCTTTAAAAGGGCAGTGTTTGAATCTGATTTATCAAATCTTTTAATAGCAATCGTATTCAGAAAATTAACACCCAAAAGTTTCTATCTGGAGTCAGTTATTTGCTATTTCTATAACTTCTAGTACATAAATATCTCAGATGAGTTCAGGGCTTGATTGTACTTTGCCAAAGTAAGTAGCCCCTGCCCCACAGAGCTTCCAGTCTAAGGTTTGAGCCTAAAAAGATGCATGAACTAGTTCAGAAAATATGAGAATTCTTACTGAAAGATATTAATTTAAACTAAATTATGTAAAAAGTCCGCCTTGGTTTCAGGCAGTGAGGTTAGAGACCTGAAACCAGTGGCCAGGCTTCTTAGAACACATAAAATCAATGGGGAGAAGGGGAGGTTACTCCATAGTGTAATTTAAGATCAGTTATGTTCACAAATATAGCAATTTAGTTAGCATACAGTCATCTTCTCTCATTTAAAATGGGATTACTCATAGTGCAAAAAACATTAAACTTTGCAGAGAAGGTGCCTAAATAAGCAAGCCTAACAAAAGGAAAGAGAAGATGGCCCACACAGGCAATGGAATCATGGAAATAGCTGAAATGCTCTGTTGGTATTGCTTGCTTGGCATCAACTTGGAAAGTTTTGTTTATTCTTTTCTGCTTGCTTTGTTTATTGAATGGCTGAGGAGAAAGCTAAAAAAAACCAAACCAAAAACAAAAGCAACAACAAAAAAGGAGGGGAATGAAAAAGTTAAGGGACTAGGAAAGAAGGAAAGATAAAGAATGAAAACCAGTGGCAACAAACAGGAAAGAATCATGTTGAAACACAGGAAAAACGGGAAGAGGGTGGGAAAAGCGGTGTGATACAACACTGGGAGAGGGTGAGACGCAAATAACCAATGTAGCCAGAGTGCCCTGGGGGTGCTGGATGTCTGATCATCCTTCGGCTCCTCTTGTTCAGGGAGAGGGGATGCAGGAGCCTTGGCAGTTCTTGTGCCACCCGCCCCGGATGGGTGCAGGAGGCTCGGGATGTGCCGGCCGCGGGGATGCTCGCAGGCCGGGGCACCTCATGGTGCGTGAGGAGCGGGCCGAGCCCCTTGAAGCTGCAGCACAGCTGATGCCGCACCGGGGCTGTCAACTTCAAACAACTGCGTGCCAGACCTCCCGAGAACGGGCTTTGCCTGGTGTGAGCGACCGCAAACTTGCACATCTCTCCCATCTCCCTCCGTCCTGCTGGTGCCCCTCTCTGGCGGGTCTCGGCTTGCTTTAGGCCTGGCTCAGTGGCCGTGGGCCCGCGCCCTGTGCTGGGCCGGTGCCACCACGCTGGGTGCTCCGCTCCGCGTTTGTCTCGGGTACCCAAGGGAGCCTGGCACCGCCACCCCTCTCCCCGTGCCTCCAGCTCCGGCGGGGCACAGGTGTTTAAACACTTACAAACGTGCCAGGGAGCCGCGACCGCTCCAACTCCCCGGGGAAGAGATGGGGACGGGCCCAGCGCTGCCTCCCCTCCGCTCCCTTCCCCCTGAGCGCGGGACAGCACCCGCGGGACCGAGACCCCATCACAGCTTGGGCAGCCCCGCGGGATCCCCTCACAGCTCGGGGCACAGGGCGCTCTCCCAGCCCGTGGAGCGGGAGCCCCTCGCGGCCCCAGGGTCCCCCCCAAAACTTTGCCCCGAGTTGCGGGGCTGGGGCGCGCTGCCCTCGCTCCCTCACGCCCCCCGCCCCAGGTGCGCGGCCGGCGCTGCCCCGCCCCGCCCGCGCCCGCAGCCACTCGCGGCGGCGGCGCTGGCGGCGGGCGGGGCGCATTGGCTGGAGGGCGCCGTCACTCTCCCCCGGCGGCGCTGGGGAGGGGTCTGGGCGCTGCGTGCGGGCGGCGGGAGCGCGGCGGTCCGGCGGCACCGCACGGAGCGCAGCGCGGGGCTGAGGCAGCCGCGGGGAGCCGCGCCGGCCATGGCGGTGTCCGCGCCGCCCGTCATCGCCGCAACTTCCAGCGGCGGCGGCGCGGGGGGCTCGGCGGGTTTGTTCCGGGCGGACCCGCTGTACTCCAGCCCCGCGGAGTCCCCGCGCCTCACCAACAGCCTCGTCAACACTTTCCTCTCGGCCGGCGGCGGCGGGGCCGGCGCGGGCGGCGGTGGCGGCGGCGGCAACGAGTGTAAGATGGTCGACCTGCACGGGGTGAAGGTGGCCTCGTTCCTCGTGGAGGGGCAGGAGCTGATCTGCCTGCCGCAGGTCTTTGATCTCTTCCTCAAGCACCTGGTGGGAGGGCTGCACACGGTCTACACCAAGCTGAAGCGGCTGGATATATCGCCCGTGGTGTGCACGGTGGAGCAGGTCCGCATCCTGCGCGGGCTGGGGGCCATCCAGCCCGGCGTGAACCGCTGCAAGCTCATCACCAGGAAGGACTTCGAAACTTTGTACAACGACTGCACCAACGCGAGGTGAGCGCAGGCTCCGCTCTCGCCCCCGGCCGGCCCGCGGGGAGCGCAGCCGGAGGCGGGGGCGCGGGTCCCAGGGGAGGGGGGCACCGAGGGGCTGAGCGGGGCCGGGGAGCGGCGGTGCCGACACGGGAAACTTTCCGTGCTTCCATCAGCCCCCGCCATGGCCGGGACCGCCGGGCAGCGGAGCGGCTCCGCGCGCCGCTCTCCAAACTTTTCTCCAAAGAGGGAAAGCCGATAGTTCCCGAAAACACTCCTTAAAAAAATCCCCAACCAGAATCTCCAAAAGTTTTTTTCCGTTACATTTGTCCCGCTGGAACCCGCGGCTGTGCTCCGGCGCTGCCGCGGGCGGTGCCAGCCGGGTGCCCGGGCAGGGGCTGCGGGTCCCGGTGCCCCCGGAGCGGCTCCGCTCCCGCAGCTCCGGAGCGGCCGCAGCCCCTGCCCTGCCCGGCTTCGGTCACCGAGCCCCCGGATCCCTGCTGGGTCCTGCATACTCGGGGTTATAATCCTGGTTTGTGACCTCATGGCTGCTGCCTTTAGAAATGATAATGATCTAAATAAACACAAAACCCTCTCGGGGCTCGGCAGGAGCGCTGGTGCCGTGGGGCAGGGTGTAAGGCAGGCACTCCGGAGTTCCCATTCCCCGCTTCAGCAGTTGGCGAGGGACGTCTCCAGGAACATTTCCATGTCAGCGTGCTGCTGCTGCTTTCTGTGGCAGCAAACTTTCTTTACAGACGCTTCAGCGAGCTTTGGGTGCGATACCCGACCTGCGGCGTGCCCGCGTTCAGTAACTGAGGGCTTTGTGTCACTGGTTCGACCCCCCTAGCCCTGAACGGGGGTTTTATCTTTAATAACTTAATTTCGTGCCATGCGGGGCCTGATCCTGCCCTCGCTGCTGGAGCGGGAGCAGACCGGGCGTTATTCTTGAACGCAATGATCGCTTTGTTTCACATCACTTTATATTACAGGTGGCAGTTTAGAGATGCACTTTATTCCTAGGTCTGTTAATATGAACTATGTGCTTTTTTTCCTTGCTCTCGTTCAGTTTCTGTAACCCCTTCTCCCGCTGCCTGTTTCAATGTCAGGCACCTCGATGACATCACACCCACTGCTTTATTTAAGTGATGGGTTTGGAAGTACGGTCTGAGGCTTACGTTAATTTTATTCCAATACATTAGATTACTAAGGGGCACATTTAACATGTAAATGCTTCTGTGAAATGTTTCTGAGACTCGACTAGCATGAAAGTTGATGGTTAAAGAAAAACATCTCGTTAATTTCTGTGACCGTGCCAAAGTTTTTTATTGGGGAAATAGAGGATCTGATATGATGCAGCCTGTAGATGCAGTCTAATGATTTCTGATCTTGTACAACCAGCCTTTTAAAATCGCAAAATGCTGCGGTGTTAAATGTTTAAAACTTGTATTTCCCAACTTTTTTTCCCCCCTCTTCTCTTTGACAAAGACTTATGGGAGTGATAGGACAAGGGGATTGGAAGTGCAGGGAGCAGTGGGAAGGGGAGCTGTGGGTGAGGAGCCAAGGGATGCTCCAGGAGGGGCTGAAAGGAGCAGGGAGTGGAACGGAGCCCTGGGGAAGGCTGGGGATGAGGCAGAGCTCTCAGCTCAGACTCACACGTGTTGAATGTGCTTAAACTCTCCCCACACTGCTGTGTATTTTTCCCTGTTCGAGAATAGCAAATCCCTTTACATTTCGCTTCTCTGTGCCTCATGAAGATGCCCCTGGTTGGAAGAACCTGCTCACATCAGGTGTTTTGCATTCACGGTTTCAGGTGTAACGCGTCAGGAGTGTTATCAGCACACCTGAAACTTTGTTCAAGGATTGTAACTTAATGTTAATTGTATTCTGTCCTGCTAATTAAATGCTTAATGCCTCATTTTATTTACAGATTATTATTTCCCTTGAGCAGTCCATACTTACTGGAGAGAATGTTGGGTAAAAATAGTTAAATACATGAGTAATCTTAATTATTTTTGTTTGCTGTGAAGTGACCTGGGAAGCACTGCAGTGCACGTTATCAAACAAATCAAATGCAGTAGAACTGTTAAAAGACATGCTCACAGTTTTTAGTTCTGTACCTGGAAAGTAAAGGCTTGAAAATATGTGATCTTTTGGAAACACTGCTCTCAACTCGGAATACTGTACCTTGCTTTTCTAGTTAATATTTGTAAAAATTTGGTAGCCATTTATGTATTTATTTGAATACTGTAGAAATGGTGCAGTAAACTCAAGAGCTGCCAGTGAAAGCAGTAAGAAATGCTGGGTATCGTTACTTTCACTGGTAATTGACTTGTAAAAGTCGACATCCCTTATGTTAGTGTGCACTGTCAGTTATTTTTTGAATTGGGATGCAAACCATCAATTATATATAACTGAAAAAAAGATAAATTCTATTTCTCCTGCTTACTGTATTGCATTTTTCTAGTTGAGTTTGTGTACAGAGCTCGTAAGAGCTTCAGAGAAACACACCCGTGGGTGAAAGTTTTTTGGTGTGTGTGTTCTGTAGCAGGAGTTACTCTGTCCAGCAGCTCTGACCTGTGTATTTCTGGAGCACTGTTGAAATTGTCATTCACATATTTACACAATCTCCCTAATGTTTATTTTTAGCCAACACCGTGCACTCTTAATTTGCGAGCAAGGTTTGTGAAATGAAACTAACTGCTCATTTCATTGCAGGTCCCACCCTCAAGTGAGTACAACATACTGACAAAATCTAGCTCCTGATGGGCAATACCTTAGAATATTACTTATATTGTCGAGGATTGCTTAAATTTAGTAGTAAAGCATAACATTTAGTTAATTAAAAAAAAAAGGCAGGCTATAATGAGGACGTATTTTTAAAAGGAAATTTAAAACTGTAGTAAGAACATGTTTATGGTAGTACATATGTCAGTCCTGAAAAATAGGATTATATGAATGTGATCACGAGCTCTTCCACACAGTTCTGTATTTGATGGATGCTACTGGCCACTGAAAAAGCAGAATGTTGGTCTGGATTATTCAATAAATGGTCAGAATACTTTCCAGAAAAGAGTATTTCAGTGCATGTCATATTTTTTATGATTTAAAGTAACCATTTAAGCTAATATTTTGCATTACTTTGGCTATTCACAAACAGTAAAAGGCTTTAGAAATGAATTTAAGCAGTAAATGCAGACATTTAATTTTATGAGATAATGAGGGTCTAGTCATGTTGACTATTAAAAGCTACCCTATAGTCAGCAGTACTCTGTCTTTTATTAGGAGACTGATGTCAAGATTATAATTAAAGCAATCCAGCCATGTAGCACTGCACACAGCTTCCTGTATATTGAGAGGAAATGTAGGCATCTGATTGTCCATAAACTTCTTTCTCTAAGTGGATATTTAGCCTGCATTCAGACTTGGCCAAATCTATGAATTTTGGAGGTGTTAGCATTTTTAAATAAAGATCAGTTTTTCAGTTTCCCTCTCTTCCTTGGAGAGGAGGCTCACTTGAGACACTCTGGAGAGAGATCACTGGCAGAGTGGATTCTGCTTGAGCTGGAGAAAGGAATTCTCCCACTTTCTGAGCGATGCAGTTTTGCTTTTGGAAAAAATCCCTCTTTCTTTTTGGGTATCTTGAAAGTCTGTGCCTGTTCAAAACTCCTAAAATACTTGAATATTTTCATCAGATGCATATCTAATCTGGAGAACCCTTGATTAAAATTCCCTTCTTTCTTCATAGCACTAGAGCTGCTCCCCATTTGAAGGGTAACATGCTTTTCCTCCAAAATGGAGTATTTGTATGATTCCTGCATGTGTATATGCATAATACATATGTAATTTTCTACTGAGACTTCTACAACTGAAAAATACTGTGTTTTTGTAGCAAAGACAAAAAAGCTAAACAATTAGGTATTAATGATATTCTTGTTGCATATTCAAAAGGTCTTTGCAAGCATTTCTTCTCCTTTTTTTCTTTTCACCATTTCAACCTGCAGAACTCTTCACTGTCACTTCAAATCACACAATTCTACGAAGATAAAACAACATTTAAACTCATTTGCTTTGGGAGGAAAATTGAGCATTTGCACCCAATAAGCCTGATTGTGGAACTGCATGCAAATTGTGTTTTGATTTATCTCTTTTGCACTTTTTTCCATTTGAATTGATCTTGCATTAATTTCGCCAAGCGGCTCTGTGAGGCTGCAGATGTTGCCCTGTGTTTAATAAATCAATGAGACAGATCTGAATGAATCACTTCAGATGGATTCTCTGCTCGGTTTGATGTCTAGATGTTATTCTTAGCTTGTTATCATGACAGATGCATTAATGTTCCCATACACTGCCAGCAATGTCAAAGAGATTGAAGCTTTTAAAGTGGCGGTATCCCCTTTTCCCCCTTCTGTTGGAATAACTAAATTGCCTTTAGGAATAGGTCAAAATATAAATTTAATCTTGGCATTATCGTGGGGGAAGATGCTAAACTTCTGATCGTATGGTAACGCAGGCAAATGCAGATTTTACAGAATGATTAATTATTCCCAAATAGTGGAGATCAATATTAAAATCTAAACATAGGCTAGCTCCTTAATAGAGTAACCACTTTCTCAACATTAATATTTCATTGTAATAGGAATGATACGAATAAATAATATAAGACTAGAACATGTTAAAAGTATTGCTATAAATAGAATATCATCGTGTCCAAATTGATTACAGGCTGAAGTAAGGCTTTTCTTTTTGCCTTTTTTACCTCATTAAGAATTTTCTTTTAAAGTTGTGTATGTCTGGATTCAACATCTGTTAGATTTAAAATACTTGTTTATTATGTTTCTGCTGCTACTCAGCATGTAGGGCCAGATCTGTTGGAGAAGTTGTTGATCACTGTTAATTTCAGGTCAGTTTAGTCTGGTATCCATTATCTTGGACAGAACCTGTGGAACACAAACTATAAAAGGCTGGAACGTGTCTTTGTGGAAAGGTTTTAAATTCTGAGAAAAAGATAGCACAAAGTGTAAAGT